TAGATATAGTGTAGTCTTGTATATATAAGACCGGCCACAAAGCGACGAACAGTGTAATGAGTAATTGAACTGCAGTCAGAGTGTGTGTAATTGAATTGAGTATTATTGAAGTCCAGCATGTGAGACGTTTGTTATAGCGCGACTGTTGAAATTAAGTGTATCGTAAAGTTGTATTCGGAAAGAATAAACCAGTTTTATTTAAGAAAGGACTTGTGTCGCTAAAGTTTAGTCGGAAAGAATTTACGGAAAATTAACTAATGAACGGAGACGTAACACTATGTTTTAAGGTTTCAATTTAGATGGTAGCCAGAGGGTGTATAGCGTTAAAGTAGCTTCCACGAATATGTACAATTCAGACATCGGTTATAAATATAAGTTAGTAGAGCGAAGTGGTAAGATTATCAGTAGTGAATACAGAGTAGCTATTAATGAAATGTTTGTTTTAGTCGGTAGAGTGCCAGTAATTCAGGGAAATATTGTTGCAAGCTACATTTTCAATATTTTAATTTAAATGTTAGCTTGAAGGTGCATCATGTTGAGATTAAGTAAGTTTTAAAATATTCTGGAACGTTAGTGATCGAGTGACTTTCCGAAGTATCTAGAAACAAGACAACAGATAGAAATACGGGTAGACAGTTAGTTCAAAGATAGTGAACAGTGAATGAGTATTGTATAATGAGTTGTTTCAAAGTGTTTCAGTTAATTATTTCAATTATTGTTAGTTATAGTGTACATTCAGTTACCAGATCGATTAGCTGTGAGTTTGATCTTTATGTTAGTCATAGTTTCATTAGTGATGTATTTTTGTTTTAACATTATGTATAAACTTAGTCATAAAACAAATAAAGAGAGCTTGTGGGAACGTGAAGAAAGAAAGAAACTAATTAAGTAGACTGACTTGGGCTTGTTTTCACAGAATAAATTGAAATAACCAACCCAACGAAAGAACAACGTTACAACAGTATTTAGTTTCACTTTCAGAGAAGTATTTGGATCAGTGTTACTGTTAGTTATTGCGTATATTCAGTTACTTGTATCTGTTAATGATATAAGCTTCTCGAAACGTTGTACATTTCTATTAAAGTTTTACACTACTCATTGAAGCCGTCTTCAAACTTTACTAATAATTGACTAACCTTGAAATTGTACAAGTAAGTTTATCTGTACAACGGTAGTAGTACCATCTCTGTTGAATTTAAAAGTGAAAACGTATTTGTGAACTTAGATCTGTAGAAATATTGTAAAAATAAATTACTGTTCTCGTTAAGTGGGTTGGGCTTCGCGTTATTTTCTCTAAATCAAATCATTTAAAATTTAAAAGAACCCGCCCAACGACGTAACGCGTTATACTACTGAGAGCGAAATCAGGTTGTGAAAATATTAACTATGAAAAAAGTGAACCCAATCTTACAAAACAAGGCAATGATATTTGACCGATTTTTTAAAAGTAGACGTTGATTTTCTACAAGTATAGATTATTTTAAAGGTTATATAGTTTTAAAATGAGGCAAACTCTGCTAAACAATTGCTTTCAATGAGAAGGTATAGGTCACATGACTTTTCATCGGGTCTAGGGTGTTGCTGCTTTTAAGGCTTACGCGCAGGTTTTATGACGTGAGAGTAATGGTATTGAATTAGAGCGTGTGCATTTCAGTGGTCGCGTGATTTCTGCTCGTATTCGGACCAATAAATGTAACTCAACGTAAGGCTCATGTGGTCATTTTATGGATTTTCAATTTCGTCATAGGTGAGTGTAAAGATTGAAGTGAAATAAGTGTACTGGTATATTTGGGAAGGGATATTTTGATGTTATTTTAACGGTGTAAGCATAAAATGGTTTTAGCCTTACCGTGTAGTAAATAATAATATTAATATTATATCTAATATATTAATAATTGCATATTTCAATAATTAATGTGATATAAGCTATTGATAACGATAGTGTGATCGGCTGTGCAAAACTGCCAAAGTTCCAGTCATTCAATCCTTTAATGTTTTAGAATTTTTTGTTTTTTAATCGAAAGCTATTACTATTAGGCTACAACAGTTCAGCCTAGTTTTAATATCCTTCAGTCAATGTCTAAACTAAAGTTATGTCCTGGAGGGAAGTAGAATTTAAAACTTGTTAATAAAATTTGCTGGCATAAAATTAAAATTATCTTTTTGTGTAGCACATTTTTGAAAGCTGACATAAATAAATTAAATGATTTTCGTTCATGTAAGTTGTAGTATTTGGTTCATTTTTTTACCCTTTCTGTATACTGTACAGTTATTGATTGTAAGTTATATAAACGAAAGAGCTTTTCCTGTCGTCAGTTGTAACCTTAAAATAACTTTCTTCTAATATACAAATATAGAATTCAAGTATATTTTGTTTCTTCAAGACCATTGGAAAGTTTTATTTTTATTTCAGTCTCCAACCGTTTCAAAATTATCTACTGACAGTTAACACAAAACCCTAATATAAACATATGAATCAAATAAAGTCCTTCCAAAGTAACTGTGACTATAAGAGTGATATGAATTTCTTTTTTAGAAAATCACTTTTCTGTAAAAGTTTATTTTTGTGGAAAGTGTTTTCCTGATGAGATAGATGTTACTCATAATTTGCTGAAACTTTGGTTATGTAGGTATATGGATATGAACTGCTATATTTAATACAGACTGCTTCCTGGTATTGTTTTCATCTGTATCTATCTATCTTGTAGATAGGTTGGTGACCTTGTTAGGCCACATGTATTGGTTTGGTTATCCTGCTTGTTCTTATCTTAACTGTTAAAGTGATTTTTAACTGTTAGTTTAATTATTATCACAGGTTTCTGGCTATGTGTTTGGATTTATAACTGAGATATATCAGTTGGATTGTTTTTACACTCTTTAGAAATGCTAAGCATTCTCTCAAAAGAATAAACTTGAAGGTACATGCTTGAAATATAATACATTATACATCTTAATATGCGAGTAATTTATAAGATGTATACATACCAGTTATTTTTCTGTGTATCATACTCACTGTGTTTTTGAAATAAAATAGCTTGTTTCGGTAAATTGTAGAATTGTGAGGGATCACATCATTGCACATGTATTATGACTATCCAATACCTGCTACTTGGTTATCATATGTCTGGCTTATAAATCATAGTTAAATATGGGAAACCTGGGATGAAAATTAAGCACAAGTATTGAATTGATAACAGTAACCTAATTTTGATTTTTGATAATTTTTAGTTCTTTTTAGAGAAGACATGCTTGGTTAAATCTTTCATCCATTTCTGAGTCAGAAAGATAAAATACTTGTAATGTCAAAATGTGAATTCTTTGTTGCTCAGTAGCCACTGTCAATGAGACAGCCAGTACGACGTTCATTGTTACTGACTAGTGTCTGTTTCTAAATCCTTACTTGGTTTACAATGATGTATGGCTATCTGCTTGCTTTGTGTATTCATGTACAATTTGTATACATTTTTATCACATGATGCCGTACTTGAGCATTTTGACTAGTAATTAGATCACAAACTCTTTCATGTGACTGATGCTTTGGATGTCTAGTTGCTTATATAGGCCAAGGTCTGAACTATCTTAAAATAAAGTAACTTGCTAATCAACAGTTTTGTTGACTCTGTGTGATATATAACGAGCCATCACACAGTTCGTAAATCATATTTATAGTAAATAACATATCTTGCTTAGGTTTTTATTTTCATGTTGAATTCTGATGGAAACATGATAAGAGTTAACATAATGTTTTGGGACAACATGGGACCTATTGGTCCATCTTGACTGTTCCATTCTCAAAACTAAATTAAAATGATTAAAAAATCAATAAAAAAAATACATCTTAAAGCCAGCCCCTTTTCATTCATATACTTATCAAGCTTTTTCTTAAACTCACTTAAATTTACTGTTTCTACAACATCTGAAGGCAACCCATTCCAAAGGCCAACCACCCTGTTAGAAAAATTAAACTGTCTTAGCTGCAGATGACTCCAACCTTGCCAAAATTTGTTTGTGGCTCCTAGCTATACTATTCTTATTGTTAAATAAAAAAGATGACCCATTAGCACTATCAATTCCCTTTACTATCTTAAACACCTCAATCAGATTCCTTCCCCCAACTCTTCTTTTTTCAAGAGAAAACAATTTGAGAGATTTCATCCTCTCCTCGTATGACAACCCCTCCATCCCAGGCATCATTCTAGTAACCATTCTCTGAACCCTTTCCAACAATTCAATGTCCTTCCTCAGGTAAGGAGCCCAAGACTGAATGCAATATTCCAAATGTGGCCTAACCAGTGACCTGTACAATGAAAATATAACCTCTTTAGACTTGTATTCAATATTTCTGTAGATACAACCTAAAATCCTATTTGTCCAACCACTAGCAACAGCACACTGCTTGGATGACTTTAGAGACTTGTCAACTATTACGCCAAGATCCCTTTCCTTCATAACACTTAAGGTTATTCCCATCCAAATTATACTTATAATTCAAATTATGATAACCCACATGCATTATCTTGCATTTATTATAATTAAAACACATCTGCCATTTATTTGTTCAACTCACTAAATGATCTAAATCCTTTTGTAAATCAGCAGCATCCTCTTCACAGCTAGCAACACCCAAGACCTTAATATCATATGCAAATTTAAGTAATTTACTGACTGTCCCTTCATCTATGTCGTTGATGTAAATCAAAAAGAGCAAAGGTCCTAAGACTGAGCCCTGAGGTATTCCACTTGTAACATTAATCTGGTTTGACTGTAACAACCCTCTACTTTCTTCCATCCAGCCACTCTTCTCATCAACATGCTAACTTATCCCCCACATCTATTTAGCTGATTTTTTTACAAGCCTTTTATGTGGCACCTTGTCAAATGCTTTCTGAAAGCCCAGATATACCAAATCTACACCCTTACCCTCATTTACATAAGCAGTAACCTTTTTAAAGAATGACTTAGAGACTTGTGATGGTCAAACAGCACAAGTTGAAGCACCTATTAAATATGTTGAAAAACGGCCACCTAGAGTGGTAGAAGCTGCAAGTTTACAGGAGTTTAAGACAAAGGATGATGGATGTTTGGGGGATCAGAGTTAGTTTGTTGAGGGAAGTTCGGAGTCCAAATATCCCTGATGGACCAAAGGGCCTCTTAATGACACATAGTTTGAAGTTAATAGTGGAGTACTATTTGAAACTTGTAACAGTTGTAGAGGAAAGATTGTATGTTAATGTGATAAAATATTTCATTATAATAAGGAATGGGGAAAATATTCTTTGTTTAATGTTGTAATAAAACATACAAATAACTTATCATCTGCCCATTTTTTAACAAAGTTGGTAAAATTTGATCACATTAAATTTCAAAATTCTTAAGACTACAAGGTTAGACTCTGTAATATGATTCTTAGACTTAAAATATTTGACAATACATTTGTTATTCAATTTCTTAGGATGTTTAAAGAAAAATAGTGTATAATAGAATTGGAATTCCACTGTCTGCCACGTCCATTGGCAGTCACACAAATTTCTCGATACAGAGACTGTTGGGCCGGCTGGGACACAATAAATGTGGTAGTGGTTGTAACAGGCCTGATGAGCTCTTTATTGAGTGAAATGCATTCTGGACAATGGATATTGTAACCGTAGTGAGATTGAAGTGCTATAATACATTCTACTTCTTGAAAAACCACAGGGATTCAATAAAGAATGCAGTGTTAAAAAATAAGGGCCTAATACTTTGTCTTATGGGTAATTAATTATAATCATGCCTTGTTAACTTAGAAAATGTTCACCATAACAATTCTTAGACTATATGGTTACCAAGAATTATTGGTATTTGCTTGAACTGTGTTCTGATAATACACCACAAAACCAGCTGTGATAAAACTTGATTATTATAAATGGGGAGGTTAACAGTAGATTAACTAATGCAAACAAAGTGTTCTACTCGACAAGAATGTCCTGTAATGATTAGTCGAAAACTGGGAGATTCGATAACAAGAAACACCATCGTAATGAGCAACTGTAATGTGTTGAAGGAGTACGCTTGTTTTGAAATGCCATCGTTACAAAAGTTGAATGAACCAAAAAAATTAAATGTTATGTTATTTTATTATGTATGTAAAATTTTAAGTTAGGATGGTAATATATTTAAAAACTTGGCAATGCCAAGAATATTGTAAGAAATAAAAATAGGGTAGCATATTATATGTTGTCACGTTGGTGTTCTAATTTATGATTTTTATATCTTTTGTAGTGAAAATGTGGTAGTTGATGGTCACGTTACTGTTCTTACCACTGTATTTATATCTTTAATGGGAATGTGATAGCTTACTGTCACCCTGCTGTTATTATCACTGTATTTATATCTTTAGTGAGAATGTGGTAGCTTACTGTCACCCTGCTGTTATTATCACTGTATTATATCTTAATGGAATGTGATAGCTTACTGTCACCCTGCTGTTATTATCACTGTATTTATATCTTTAATGGGAATGTGATAGCTTACTGTCACCCTGCTGTTATTATCACTGTATTTATATCTTTAATGGCAATGTGGTAGCGTACTGTCACCCTGCTGTTCTT